GCATGATTTAGACCATCCTTTCGCAATGAATATCGATTGATGCAGCGTAATGTTGTACTTATCTATCAAACTGCCAAGGTCTCCCAAGTATCAAGTGATTGGCATGCATAGGTAGAATATCACAACATACCTCATCGTGATATTTTTCGACAGAGAATGGTACTATGACTTGTTCGGTACTTGGACTTTGTCACACTCATTCAACCATTGTAACCAGTAAGGATTTGGATGTTTGATGTATGTCAGCCTTGCTCTTTCCATGAATAGAGTGTTTGCCACATTAGTACAATTACCACCATCAATGATCATTCCACATACCTTATCATTGACAAGACATCATGTGTGGAAAGTATTCTTCCTTTGCTCGTTTTCTTCACTCCTAACTTACACGTTGAGAGCTCTTCAGACAACAAGAAGATTACTCCCAAGTGGAGTATCTTCGATGGATTGAGACATTGTGTAGTACCTGTAAGAAAGATTAGTGAAAAGAATACATTCTCTCCCTCACCTTCGCTCGTGTTACCTAGCAATCCCTCAATTGACAGCTTCATCTGTCGAGTTGAGCGTTCAGAATCGGAATCACTTGAATCGAGTCTGCACATTAGTCCTTATGACACAACAAGGAACTCTAAAGAATTCTAATTTCTACTGAAACTCAGAATTAAGCACACAGAAAAAGTAATGGTGTGCTTCTTATATGTTAAGCAACTAGAATCAATTAGTCACTTAATAATAATATTTTTTTTCTAATGGAACAAAAGTAAAATGAACAATAAAAATGTAGATCACAAAGAATGACAATTCGGATTGATGTATAGGGATCCGATCAATCTTGATGGATATAATCGATAGATGTATCTTCCTATACTACCTCCAATTTATCGGCTACTTTTTATGACCGATCAACTTTCTTTATACAATGTTGATGCAGATTATAGAAATACAATTCAAAAATTAAATGTGGATAGTGTGCAAAATGAAAACAAAAGTTTTCGCTCACACAAGTTAGGCAATGTACTTTGTCTTCGATTTTTTAAAGGATTTTCGGTCACCAATTAGGTAGTTATTCTGCTTTTGTGATGCAAGATACAAACAATGTGTCAATTACTTTATGGGGTACAATTGGGATATTTTTGTATTTTGAACATGAATTATTTGAATTGAATTGATACATACGAATTCAAGTAGGATGCAATACGAATAAATCAAAAATTAATTTGAATTATTAATGGACAAAATACTAAAGCAAATAAAAATAGATTTGGGATTCTATGAGCTAAAGTTCTGATACCAGATGATGCGGGAGGGTATGGGGAGGATCGAATCTACTCTTGAAACACACTCAACGTATGCAATACCAAAACAATAACTACCTAGAATTAAACCACTCTCTTTAATTAAATCTACAATCCTAAAAAAAAATTAAAAACAAAAATTAGATAAAATAAGTAAGAAAAAAAAAATGTCATAGACTTACCGATAAGTTGATCCTCGCTCCTTGGCTCAACAAGATTTTTAAAGACTTCTGTTTCCCCAAATACTTAAAGAAGCTAATTTTAGTAAAAATGTTGAAAGAAGAAAAGCCGAAACTCTCAATAATTCTCTCAAATTTATTCTCAAAGGTTGTTTTTATATTCTAGGAGCAAAGGCCTATTATAGCATTTTCATGGCAAACTAGATGAATACAAAATTTTTTAGAAAATTAATAAAATAATAACCTAAATAAAATTCTATCTTAATATAGAATAAACACATAATAAAATAATTATTTTATTTTAAATAAATTAATTAAATAATTCTAAAGGATAGAGTTATAATTAAAATAATAATTAATTTAAATTCATATTTATCTCATGTGAAATCTATTTAAAACACATGTGAAAATTAATTTTAACACGGGTATTTAGAAAAGTGGATCGCAAACATTTTAAAAGATTTTAAAATAATAAAATAAATAAACATTAAGTAATTTAAATATTTTAAAACAGGAGAAAGAGGGGCCGACCGATTTGGGCTACTCGAATGGGCTGGGCTGGCTGGTCTGCGTAGGTTGCGCGCGAGAAAGCCAATGGGATTCGCGGGCTGGTAGGCTTCGGCTATTTTACTAAGCCATCCGCGAGCCCATCCGCGCAGGATGTGCGCATTCGGCTCTTGGGCCTACGTGCACGTGGTTGGTTCCACGCGGGCTTGGGTCGCATGCGTGGACGCTCCCAGGCGCTCGAATGCGCAGTCCTTACAGGCCCTCATGCATGTTCGTGGGTTGTTCACATTGGGCCACATATCCGGTGCACGTGTGGGCCTCTCCCTCAGGCGTGGGCTTTCTTACAATTCTTCAAACTCATTAATCGTACTTAGGCCTTAAGCTTTCTGGCTTAGACAAACTTGGGCCATCTTTTAAAATAATCTCAATTAGAAAAGTCATCAGGAATGAAATTACTTCCCTATTCTGGATGTTCCCGTTTAAGATATTGGAACTTACTTTCCTGTTCGAGTCGAGACCTGCTGGATTCCTCTTTTGTGTTAATTGATATCCTTGATATCAAATTTGAGCTATCCAATATCACATCATGAAGGGTGGCATTGAGTGAGTTTCTCTTTCTCTGTGCATTGTTCATAGATGTTAAAGTTTGATTAGAATTAATGTTAAATTTTTTAACTAATGCATTATTTATAGATGCAACAGTCATCAACTTATTTTCTAAATAAGCACTTATGGTATTCTTAGCTTTTAGTAAAAAGTATACTTCATATTTTGAATTCAATTTAATAATATTGTGAACATACATAAATCTTATAAATTAATATATTTTTTAGTTATATTTGATAATCACTTTAATGGCTTAAATAATTATTTTATTATTTAATTTAATAATATAAATATAATATTTAAATTTTGTGTACTTAGCACTAGGTATGGAAAGAAAGTTTATCGATAGATAAGTCGTTGGTATAGATCTAATCTATGTAAACAAAAAAACTATTTTGTATAGGTGAATGCTTTCACCAACAGATATTTTTAGTTTGTATAAATCTAAATACTTATTTTGATAGCTAATATAGTCGCTTTTATAAATCTCGTGAAGCTGACGGATGAAGTTTATGTTTATATAGCCTGGAAGTTAAAGCAATGGAGATTATGTTTGTTGCTATTATTACAGGTTATTTTTCTTATAGTGATTGGTTAATATAAATGTAGTTAAGATATCTAAAATTAACAAATGTCAACAAGCATTGCAGCATAAAAAAATGTTTAGAATGTTAAGGGATAAATATGTAGATTATTTTAATTTATTTAGTGATCCTAACTAATTGTAATTTACATAATCACCACATATATATGTTAATAGTGAATTAAAGTAATTAAGAAATCCTTTTAATTTTCCAAATTGCTTTTAGCATTTACCTAGTAGATAGACACAAGAGATGGGTTCTTATATCTTTTCTGACGGCATGATTATTTATAACATTATATGTCAGAATATATACAATGGTACTTCCTCTAGAAAATACTCCTCTGTTTCTCTTATGCTGCGGGAAGAAAAAAATTATGGATTGTATATTATTCTAATATCAAATATATAAAACCATCTATATAGACGAGAGTAGTTAGTAATAGAAAAAAAATATATGGGTGGTAATTTTATGACATGCTTGCAAAACATAATATCTAGACAGAAATTAACTGAAGAGGATCATTTGTAACAGAAATGGAACTAATTTAATAGAATAGTCAGATGAGAGATCTAATATTAAAAAGTCTAAAATTAAGTTAAAATAAAATTTTCTAATTAATTTTAAAGATAAGAGAGGGATGCCCTAGTACTGCGTGTTATAGGGCTTATTGGACCCACAGGGGTTTTATTTTAGTTGTTAGTTTCTGAGCAGACGCAAGCAGTGAAACTTGTTATCCTGTTCGGTGTTTCCACACTTTTGAGAATCTTGAAAAGCCAAAGGTAGACTATTAATTCCTTTTATTTTAGTTGCCTCGAATTACTACTATACGTTTTGTCTATATATATATATATATATATATTTGATTTCTTTGTATTGTTTATGTTTCGGAATATATAGCGAGTATATTGAATTTGGATGTGTGTGAACAAAGCAAGACAAAAATTGTGACACAAGCTGCCAATTATTAAAATGGTAACTATGTCGTCTCATCATTCCAACAGTGCCTTATATAGATGTTCGTCCCGCAAGCCTGTTTATACCGTATCTCTGCCATCTTATTGCCTTCTTCTTCTCTCTCTCTATCCTTCTCGTTGTTCTCTCCGGTGCTGAATGGCCCCAATGATTCTCCCTCCTGGATTTAGATTCCATCCCACTGATGAAGAGCTTGTTGCTTATTATCTGGATCGCAAGATTAGTGGCCGTAAGATTGAGCTAGAAATCATCCCAAAAATTGATCTCTACAAATGTGAACCATGGGACTTGCCTGGTATATATGATTTTATTTATTTTTGTGTTTTTATATGGAAGAATTTATGGTAGAAGTAATGTCAATGATAATATTATTATCTACATGTGTGTGAAAATGGTGTGAACAGACAAGTCATTTTTACCAAGCAAAGACATGGAGTGGTACTTTTATAGCCCTAGGGATAAGAAGTACCCTAACGGGTCAAGAACTAACCGAGCAACTCGAGCTGGTTACTGGAAAGCCACAGGAAAAGATAGGCCGGTTCACTCTCAGAAGCGGGTCGTGGGGATGAAGAAGACGTTGGTGTATTATAGAGGTCGAGCTCCCAATGGCATTAGGTCTAACTGGGTGATGCATGAGTATCGCTTGATCCATTCACCCTCCCGTTCAGAAGCCTTTTCAAATCTCAAGGTATACCTTCTACCATTTCTTAATCTTCTTCTCGCATGCCCACTAATATCAATAATTCTTCTCAAAAAATTAGTGTTTGACCGACAAATATATATATATATATGTATATATATATATATGTATATATATATATATGCATTTTTATAATTCAGGGTTGTTCAATAGAATTAGGATTTCAGATGGTGTTTCTTTTGCCATTTCTGTATGAGGGGAGCAATTTTTTATTAGTGTTTTACCCAGAAAAGAGAGCGCAATGAAACCTGCAGAAGACATGTTAAGCTGAGAAATGTTTTTTTATTTGGAGATTTATCCTTTAAAATATGCACGTACGCTGTATTATATATATATATATATATATATATATATATTTGATTTATAGTTCCAAATGAAGTTCGTCTACAAGAGTACACGTATAAGTACAAAAACAGTATGTAATGAAGAAGCATGTAAAGCTATAACATATAATTCACATATGTATCATAATGAATGATTTCCTTTTTCTTTTGGAAAAGCATATATCAAGGTCAAGTTGATGAAGACTCTGTTTCTAGTCCTTATATGGTTGTGTACCTTAACTGACACTGTTTGCTTTAGTTTCTTTCTTTTTTCTTTGCGCATGCTTTCAAAGATTTGTTTTTACTTTTATTTTTGGACAATAAAGATATAATGAATATAAGTTTTTCATGTAGGATTCATATGCACTTTGTCGAATTTTCAAGAAAAAAAAACAAAATTGTAAAATGAGAAAAGAAGAAAACACAGAGGATTGGCGATGGGATGAATGTCATTTAGCAGGAGATGATAACAATAAGCTCCCATCTGATACATCTTCCTCAGATGTCACACAAGGGACACCTACGAATGCCCGTGATTTACATCATACTTTTGCTTCATCCGAAGAAGCAAGCAGTTCTGCCTATGTTTACTCATATCGCCTTGATTTCTCTTCAAATCTAACCAAGGTACCATATTCGCAAAAACTTTTTAATTAATTGATTGAATTAATTATTTATACCTTAATATGTTCTCTCAAATACGAAACCACTTTACTGTCTTAGATCAATTAATTTTTGTAGTAGTATTAAGCTAATATATTTAAATGGGTAAATAGCCATAATTTAAACATTAGATCTCTACTTTTGATATCGTATGTTAGACAATTACTAAAAGAAAAAGAAGATACCGAAAAACAATGAGATGATAACATATTTTTAAGTACGTAGTTTATTCTTTCCTCAAAAAAGTTACGTAGCTTCTTCTACTACATGATTATTTGATCATTTTAGGGTGATGTTCTAGCTACTTTGCCAACTCTTCAAATTCTTCTTTTTTAGGTACCTTTAGTACCCCTTACTTGGCAGGACGCACATGAAAGTTTGATACTATGGATCAATGTGTTGGAATCATTTGATCTAGCTTTTCATCTTAAAAGAAATAAAAGTTCCTAGTGATGAACTCAAATCCTCTTTCCATAAAGCACATCTCTTGACTTCATAACTTCTTTTGACTCGCTCATAAAATCTCTATCCCCACTATATCACCATGTGGGACATTTTCATTCTCTTCTGTAAAATTAAACTTTTAATTCTTTACCCATATACATACATATATATGATTACAATTTGATGCAATGAACACTGATTTGATTACATATGTTTTTCATTGCATGGATGAGTGCAGGAGGTGCAAATGGGTGAATACCCTGGAATGGATTATCCGCCATTAGGAATTGATGACTTCCCTCAAATAAATATTGTGGACCCAACGCCAACAAAGCCTGCAACAACAGACCTTGATAACTTCATGATTGACAAATACATGAACGGAACATTAGACGAGATTTTCTCTTTGTCTTCCACAGACCAATTGCACATGAACTCAAACTCTCTCCATTCAACACTGAGTCACCACCACCATATAAAATACTGCAATACTCAAAAAATCTAGATATACATTTCTCATTTACTCTCTTACGATATATGATTGTTGTAATATCACTACGACCCATTTCTGAAAACACATAAAACATTAGTTTTAGCTAACTAACAAAACCAAATGTGTGGATTATATTTTTCTAACCAAAGAATCATGTGCACTGCAAAAAATCTTGTCATTGTTAGGATCTTCGTTCACCTACCATTTGTTAAAAATTTCTTTTGTACATTTTTGAATTAGAACCTTCTTGATCATACATTTGGTTGCAAATTAAAGCAATGTGCTTATGATGGACACTAGATTCCAAGAAAAATTGGGATAACACTGCCATGGGATTTTATTCCTCTATCCATATATGTGCGGGTACATATATATAATGAAGTCTATATGGCTATTTAAAGCCTTGATGTGCCGCAAGTTACAAACGCCAACATAATTTGGATTCACGCCTAAACCAAGTTTTTATGGATATGCATTCCAACTGTATCTGTTGATTTGATTAACCGCCAGAGTAATGGATAGATCTTTTAATTTTTTAATAATTGAAATAATTTTTTCACAATTAAATGAAAAGAACACAAAACTATGTTAAAAATATTTCATACATAGAATTATTTATGTATTATGATCCTATTAAATATTACATGAAGAAATCCAAGTTTCTATTTTGGTCATAAAACAAACACAAAAGAATGTAGAGAATGTTAAAAATAATTTATAATATGAGAAATATGTACGAATTAATCATTTAAGGTATGCTAGTTACAACCATAACTAGAAAGTAATATATAAGATTGAAGAACACTTCATGCTCAATCTTTCTGCTCTTCTCGCCTACATTGTGTTCTCTTTATTTTGTTTTAGTCTTCATGGTGCCCTCCTTTATTTTGCATTTCATATCTTTGCAGTATGCTCTTTAACTTTTTCTGTCTCTTCTTTATTTACGCTTTTTTTTTAGTTTTTCTCGCCCATGTGATAGTTCCTTTGTTTTTTGTTTTTTTTTTTTTTTTAATATCCCAACATGTTTCTTTATTTAGCTTTTCTTGCCCTCTTAAGATGCCTCTTCTGTCTTCCTTTTCTCATCCTTATGACATGGTCCTTCATTTACATTTTCTCGCCTCCTCAACATATCTCTTGATTTTCTTTTTCTCAACCTTGTAAAATGGTCAACATTTTTTCTTTATCCTTTTCATCTCCTATATGTTATTTTGCTCTTCTGACCTAAGTTAATCCTCTTTCAATTTTCCTTTCTCACCATAATATAAGTCTACTTTTTTTTTAATTTTATTTTTCGCACTCTGAAGACATGCTCTTTTAATTTCTTTTCTCGTGTTTATTGTATGCTCAATCCTTTTGTTTTTCTGGCTCTTTAGGTGTATGCTCAATCCTTTTGTTTTTCTGGCTCTTTAGGTGGTGCTTCTTTATTCATCTTTCGTTGTGTCATGATCTTTTCTTTTGCTTCTTTCATTCTCATCTTTCTCTCTCTAAATTTTGAAAAATGGAAGAATGGAAATGTGGGGAGGAATAGAAAGGAAATGATCAATTCAGTGAAGAGAAAGAAGAGAAAAAGATGCTCAGCACGAAAAACAAGAAAAAATGGTCTCCTCCACCAACGGCGGCAGTGACACTGCCCGAGTCATCCCGTGCGTGCATGCAGATGGAACGTGCATGCTGTGCGCACGTCCTGCAATTGCTGTGCACGCATACGCGTGCGCACAGTGCAAACATCCGCGTGGGCAGTTATACTTTCTTGTGGGATTTTTCCTACAGGATTTCTTTCGATTTTGCCATTTTTTCAATTTCTCTAAATTTTATAAAATTAATTTAAATAAGTTAAATGAAAAAAAAAATTAAATAATAAAATTAAAATTAAATAAAAATAAAATAATTAAAAATTAATTAAATTTTTACGAATTACGATAAATATCAAATAGAAAAAATTAATTAAGTTTAATGCGGTCAAAGGCCTTAATAAATAGGATTTTTCTAATTAATTAAACACAACAATAGGCACGGTGTTACAACTATGGTTTATAACTTTCTAGATGTCTTTCTGAAGGAGTTGTCTGGCTTATTTCTTGTGACATCTCAGATGCCAATTAAGACAAATGGATATCAAATATAGATTCAGAATAACCCTGATTCAAGTAGTCATTTATTTGGTACCTCCCAAGGATCAGGAACTGCCATTCTAACCCTTCTTGGGGGATTCCATCCACAAACGCAAAGTTTATGGCTGACCGATATTGCTCATCACCATTTAGCTATTGCATTTCTTTTTCTCATTGCGGGTCACATCTCAACTGGGTATGTATATTTCTAGGCTTTCACAGTTTTGGTTTGTATATTCATAATGATACCATGAGTGCTTTAGGGCGTCCACAAGATATGTTTTCAGATACCGCTATACAATTACAACCTGTCTTTGCTCAATGGATACAAAATACTCATGCCTTAGCGCCTGGTGCAACAGCCCCTGGTGAAACAGCGAGCACCAGTTTGACTTGGGGGGGCGGTGATCTAGTAGCAGTGGGTGGCAAAGTTGCTTTGTTACCTATTCCATTAGGAACCGCGGATTTTTTGGTACATCACATTCATGCATTTACGATTCATGTGACGGAGTGAATGATAATATTTATGCAGTAGAATCAAACTTTAACAAATCCCTTACAAATATATATATAATGTTCCAACTACATACATCACTAAGGCCAGAAGTTGCTACAAAATACAAAACATAAATGTCACTTCTTTCACTATGCTACTGGAGTTCATCAGAGTACGGGAATAGTCATGCATTCAGACTTGTGGATTTATGGGATCCTCATAGACTTCCAATGTAGGTCTGCCTGCGGTTTCTCATTTCCTTCTTCATATAGGGGATGAAAAAAGTAAGTTTCATATGCTTAATAAAGAAAACAATATTAAATTAATATCGTAAAATTTCAAAAGTTTATTAATTTTTTCTCATCGTTTATCTTTCTTATTTACCTAACTCATCATTAGAAAAGAGAGCCATTTATTTAAATATAAAAATAGTACGTTAGCATAGAAAATCAAATATACATATATCATGCCATATTATAAAGAAAATCAAATAACTCATGAAATGCAAAGATTTTTCATGTCATACATCGCAAAATCGTTAAAGACTTCAATCTCTGAAAGCAGATATAGATTTTGGACCGCTCAAGTGGAATGACCAGATCAGATACGATATGAAAATTGCTCAGGCCCACTTCTGCCTGGCCAAATCATGGTACAATCTATGATCACGGCTGTACCAACCATACTAGTACTAACAAATATCTATAGTCACGACATTACTTAGTCATGGATGACCCTTACAAATAGTGCGATACCACTCTCGCCAGATGGCACACTGTCATCTACTAGGAATGGTTATCTTACGTCTTTTCAGACCAGATAGGGGAGGAGAAAATAGATGCCCCGAAGGGTAAGGGGAACAGATATCCCTCATAGATAAAAAAGTTAACAAGGCACTTAATACAATATGAATGTCAATACAGATACACTTCAGACCATACAAGCTTAATTCCACCTTTCTCTTTTTCTTTTCTTTTTACTTTTACTATTACGGACTATATATTATATATATTACAAGCAAATTCATCAAGTGTTAGTAATTCACATAACATGCTTGAAAATCAAAACAATTCGACTTATTTGAACACAGAGGCATGCAAAACAGACAAAATAACAATTATATTCAATTACTTATATAAAAATACTCCTTAAGACATCGAAAATAATACTATATTCTTTACCAAAACCTTAATGTTTTCTTCTTTATCGTTTTTCCTTCTTTCTCTTCTTCTCTCACTAAGTTACTATCTCTCTCTCTCTCTCTCTCTCTCTCTCTCAACCTTTGAAAAATAGAAAAAATAGAAGTGTGGATAGGAAGGGAAGGGCAAAGGCAATTTATAGAACTTTAAAACCGTTGGATTCGCGCAAAATAGAGAAATTTGGTAAATGAGAGGAGAAGAGATTTTTGACACGAAAAACGAGGGAATAAAATTTCCTCCATTGGCGGCAATAACATGCCGCTCAAAGCAGCGGCGGTGCACTTCCTGATGTGACAGTGCCCGATCGGTGCGCTGCAGGCTAGCCTGTAGGCGCATAGGCCTATTGCCACACGCGCAGGGGCTAGCCTGCGCACGCGTAGGATCTAGGCGTACTGGGTGCTGCGCGAGCAGGACCTAGGCCTACTGGGCGCCGCGCAGGACTACTGTGCGCAGGCCCCAGGCGGACAAGGCCTGTCTGCGGAGGCCCCAGGAGGGACAGACGGCGCGTGCACAGTGTGCGGTGCCAATCTGTGTGCTAAGTGACGCGCGAACGGCCCACCTACGAGCGACAGGATGGGTGCGCAGGTCTTGACCAGCACCATACGCGGAAGGGAAAGGGACGCACACGATGTGCGCACATCTCGTGCATGTGTGTGGATGGCGCGCACGCCCCATGACCACTGTGCGGGCATACGCGCACGCACAGTGCCCAGCATCTACACGGGCAAATTACTTTATCGCGGGATTTTTTCCACAAGCAGGTTTTCTCCCATCTTGCCGTTTTTCAATTTTTTTTCTAAATTTTCCTTTTGAAATAAAGCAAGATAAAATAAAATAAAATAAAAATCAAAATAAATCAAAATCATGAATTTCGAAAAATATTAACCAGCATAAATTAATTTAAGTTTAAGAGGGCCAAAGGCCCAAATAAATAGATTTTTTCATTCATTTTAGCGCAGTGATAGGCAGAGTATTACACCTCCCCCACGAGAGATAGAGTTTTCCATCGATCTCCTTCTAAGAACCCAACCCATCTCAAAACTTGCTGAACTTGAACACCAGCTTTCTGAGCTTCTTGGACAAAGATTCATACGCCAAACCATTCTCCTTGGGGTGCCCGAGTACTATTTATAAAGAAAAAGGGCGGTTCCCTTAGTTATGCATCGATTACAGAGAGCTCAATCGAGTGACTGTAAAAAGTAAGTACCATTTGCCCCGTATTGATGATCTCTTCAATTAGTTGCAAGGTGCTATGATTTTCTTGAAGATTGATATCAGATCAGGGCATTACAACTTGAGAGTGAAGGAAGAAGATATCCCTAAGACAACATTTTGATGTTGGTACAGTCAGTATGAGTTCAAGGTTATATCCTTTGGATTGACTAATGCCCCTGCTGCTTTCATGGATCTTATGAACAGGGTTTTCTAGCATGCATTAGATCAATATGTCATCCTGTTCATCGATGATATCCTAGTGTACTCGAAGAACCGTGAAGAACATGTAGACCATTTGTTCGATGTATTAAAGACCTTTCGTTGGAATCACTTGTATATAAAATTCAGCAAATGTTCTTTTTGGTTGGATCAAATTTTTTCTTTTTATTATATGATTTTTGGCGAAGGAATTTCTGTTGATCCTTCTAAAGTTGAAACTTTAATTAATTAGAGTTGACCAACCAATGTTGTCGAGGCACACAATTTCTTTGGTTTGGCCTGCTATTACCAGCGGTTCATCGATAGATTCTCTAACATTACAACTCTTTTGACCCACCTTACCAGGAAGGGTGTAGCTTTTATTTTGGATGAAGAATGTGAAGATAGTTTTGTTAAACTGAAGTATTACCTCACCTCCACTCCAATTTTGATCCTCCCCGATAGTCTTGGACGATTTTATGTTTTCTGTGATGCATCTCACGTGGGTTTGGAATATGTTTTCATGCAACACAGTCGGATAGTCGTTTATAGATCCAGACAACTAAAACCCTATGAGTATAATTACCACACAAACGACTTGGAGTTGGCTGCCATTGACTTTGCCCTGAAGATATGGCGCCACTATCTGTATGGCCAAACATTTGAAATTTATACTGATCATAAAAGTTAGAAATACATATTTTCTCAGAAAAAGCTTAATATGAGACAGAGACATTGGATGGACCTTCTGAAAGACTATGACAACAAAATCCTCTACCATCCCAGTAAAGGTAATGTGGTTTGACACTTTGAATCGGAAGGAATCTACTTTGTTGGCCCAGATGATGGCCTCCAGTTGGAAGCTAGTTGATGTAATGTAGGCACTCTGCCTCAATCATTATGGAAATGGTGCCTACCTCACCCAAATTCGGGTCTTGTCTTATCTTTTCATAAAGATTTGGGAAGCTCAGTCCACCGATCCAGAAATAACTCAAAATCTAAATAAGTTTACTTCTAACGAGTTTCCTAATTTCAGGCTCACAGATGATGGTTTGTGCCGATTCTAAGATCATGTTTGGGTTCCTACTGTGGTCAGGACAGATGTTTTAAAGGCTGCTCATGCATCTATGTTATCCATTCACCCTAGAATTACGAAGATGTACCGAGACTTGAGGTGCTAGTATTGGTGGCCTGGAATAAAAAAGATATTGTTGACTATGTTTCCTGATGTCTTACTTGTCAGTGAATTAAGGCCAAGCATCAGAGACCTGACAGTTTATTGTAAGGGCTCCCTATTCTAAAATAGAAGTGAGAACATGTGACCATGGATTTTGTCACCAGTTTTCACAGAATCTATGCCCATTTCCTACCTATCAAAACAACAGACTCCACTAGTAAGTTAGCCCGTCACTATGCCAAGGAGATTGTTTGACTCCACATTATTCCCTCTTCGATTGTTTCAAACAGAGACCCTCGATTTACCTCCCATTTTTTGGATAGTTTTCAGGAAGTCCTTGGTTCAGAATTGTACTTCAGTACTGCCTATTACCCTCAAACTGATAGTCAATCTGAGCGTCTGCCTATTACCCTCAAACTGATAGTCAATCTGAGCGTACAATTCAAATGCTATAGGATATATTACGCACTTGTGTTCTCGACTTTAGTGGCAATTGGTATGTGTACCTTCCATTATGTGAATTTGCTTATAATAACAGTTATCATTCCAGCATCGGCATAGCTATATATGAAGCCCTGTATGATAGGTGTAACACCCTGAAAACCTTTGCACTTTTGGGAACCCCTATTTATTCGAGTCCTAAGGTCGGTTAAACTTTTTCAATATATCGTAATTTTTAATTTAGGATAAATATCTTATTTCGTATTTTAAATTTTATACTTTATTTAATTAAATAATTCTTAAAATTTATTATTTTATTTCGTCGTAGAAAAATTATATTTTTGTTGTTATTTAAAAATGATTTTCATATATGACATCTCAAATGCTAATTAAGGTATAAGGGTGCCATATACAGAAACAGATTACGAGTGCATAATAGTTAATTGTATACAGCAGAACAATTATTACAAATCCCTTATAAAATAAATAGTTTTTAGGAAGCCCTTGGTTCAGGATTGTTATTCAATACTGCCTATCACTTTCAAACTGATGGTTGGTCTGAGCATACAATTCAAATGCTAGAAGATATATTGTGTGCTTGTGTTCTGAATTTTGGTGACAATTGGTATGAGTACCTTCTATTATGTGAATTTTCTTATAACAACAGTTATCATTCTAACATCGACATGGCTCCATATAAAGTCTTGTATGATAGGCCCTGTCGTTTTCCAACCTGCTGGAATGAAGTTAAAAACCAGCATCGTTTAGGACTAGATTGTATTCAAGAAACTATTGAGAAAGTCGCCATTATTCAGAAGCACCTCACCACCGCTTAGAGTCGTCAGAAGAGCTACGCTGACAACCGTAGGAGATCGTTGGAATTTGCTGTTGGCGACCATGTCCTTCTCAATATCTTTCCTTACAAAGGTAAAATGCAGTTTGGTAAGAAGGGAAAGCTGAGCCCTCGATATGTGGAACCTTTTATGATCATGGAACGTATCAGACCCATGGCATACCGCCTCGCTCTACCTCGAGTGTTTACAGGTTTGCATGTTTTTTTTCATGTCTCCATACTTATAAGGTACCACCCTAACCCTTCTCACATTATTCTTCACCAAGAAATGCAGGTACAATGACTTACAAGGAGTTTTTCGTGAAATCCTTAGTTGGACCGATAAAGTTTTGTGTAACAAAAGGATCTCGATAGTGAAGGCACAATGGCAGCTCCACACTCTAAAAAAGGCAACATGGGAGCTAGAGAAAGAAATGCAGGAGAAATTTCCTCATCTATTTGTAGCAAATTTAGATGACCAAATTTTTTAAAGGTGAGGGGGAATGTAACACCTTGAAACCTTTGCGTTAAATTGTTATTTAAAAAATCTATTTATTCGGTCCCTAAGGTCATTAACTCTTTAATTTTATATTTTGATTTTTAAATAAAATCGAGTTTAAAATTTAAAATGTTATATTTTATGAACAAATTTATTTTCTACATAATTATTTTACTTATTTATGTATTTGTTTATTTATTTTATTTATTAGTTTTGAAAATTTTAGGAAAAATAAAGAAGGAAAACAACAAAAAAATCCCGCGGGAAGGGTTGCGAGAATTTTTTCCCCGCGTGTGCACGACCATCACGGAACGGGCGCCTATGCGCATGTCCCATCCACGTGGGGCACGAGGCACGCAGTCTACTTGTCACATCGAGTGCAAATGTCGCCATTTGGGGGGGAATGCACTGCCGCTCGACCGGCGAGCCGCCACTATTTGTGTAGCACAACTTCGGTCCCCGAGCCACCGTCACATTGCCATCGTCCCATTGGCTGTCTGTTAGTCACATTCACCAGTCATCGCATCATGTCGGTCTCTTTTTCCCCTCCCTCTCTCCTCACAAATTTGCACTACTTGGTAGAAATCCAACGATCCTCTCTTTTTATAAATAGGGACCTCCTCCACAACTCCTTCATCACTCCATCTTTATTCTTCCATTCACCAAAGTAATTCTTAAGAGAGATAGAGCTAGAGAAAGAGAAAGAAAGAATAGAAGGAAGAAAAAATAAAAATACTTCAAGTGTTCGACAAGGAAACTTGGTGGTTTTTTTGCACATTCTAAGGATTATTTTTAAATTAATAAAAAGAACATTGCATAAATATGAGATGTCTTGTTACATGTTTAATTATTGCTATATTTTAAATATGTTTTAAGTAAATATTCTACGATATTGCATGATTTACATTGTTCTACCAAGTTAATAAATAAACGTGATGTATGATGGCATTATAAGTGATGATGAAGCATGATGTTATTTGACGAACATGAGAAAGGGATTATGGCTTTTTGCATGCATAATATTTAAATTTACATGACCTATTAGGCTTTTTATCTCAGAGGGGTTCTGTTTCAACCTCTATCTAGTCTGAAAAGATGTGAGATGACCACTCTCTATGGATGATTGCGTACCCTCTAACAAGAATGGTGATGCGATATGATTGTCGGGGTTACATTTGGCGACGTACGGCCCCAACTATAGTTTACATATAGGGGACCACTATGGTTGGCACAGGCGTGGTCATAGAATGTGTCATGGTTTAGTAAATTGAAAATGTATTATGGTTTAGCAAGCCGTAAATATGCTGAAAGTGATATGAAATGAATTAGTCATTCACAATGGTAGTCAGGAATCTATATTGCCCTCAATAAATAGAGGTCGGAACAGCTTTGTGCGAAAAGTAAATAAAAGATGAAATGAAAGCATGATATGAAATTATTTCTTTGATTTTCTTTAATTTACATGATATGATTATATGATGGATATGATTGATTTAACGTTGACATTTTTTAAAACAAAATAAAATATTTTCTTTATTAAAATGGCCTCGCGTGCTTGATTCCCAATGGTAAGAAGATAAGGTATTATTCTAAGTTAATTACTTTTAAAATCTTAGCAATATCATTTAAATACTACTTTCTTTACTGAGTATATGAAACTAACCTCTTTTCATACCCCCACTTCAAATGACGACAATAGTGAATCCACTAGTTGACCTGCCCATTGAAGCCTTTAAGGATAATGTGGATCCATGAACCGTTACGAGTATATATTGTCTCGCACTCTGATGAGTTCAATTTTTGAAGAGGCTTGTATTTATCTTATTTCGCCTCAGTATTATAAGATCGGCACTCAAACTTATTTTGTAAGGGATGTGTAATATATTTATTCCGCTGCATATAAGTATTTTAAATGCACTCGTATCTGTTTTTATATCTGACACCCTTATACTTTAATTAATATTTGGAATGTCACAATCTATCTATTGACCTGCCCCTTTATCTTTATCTGGATCCATTTGTGGATCCATAGTGTGTTAAGTGCGAATATGTGCATTACTCTAGACATTACCCTTTTGTAATGATAAAAGTGGCTATAACATGTTTGCAATTATTTTTATAGCTAACTTCTTTGCCTCAAAAGTGTAATTATAGTATTATTTTTGTAAGGAATGAACGGAGCTTCCACATTGTATTCAATTATATTTGCACTCATTTTTGCCTTGTATTGGACGTCGCTTTCCACCGGGTGGCAAGGTGTCACATCAGTGATCATAACTGTGATAGTAAGCAAGAAGAATTAGCCCGAGTAGCTGACAATAAGGAGAGCATCTTATAGCTCGTAAAGAGGGATGTGTTTGTAATCTAAAAGGCCTTGAATATATAAGTAAAGTTATAGTGTACATTAATAATAAGAGGGAGAACATCTTCCATTTTAGGTACCTCATGAACAAGAAGGTCTCTACCGTGATAATTGATAGAGGGACCTGCACTAATGTAGCCAGCACTCTAGTTATGAAGAAGGTAGGGTTGTCTTGTACAAAGCACCCTCAACCCAAATAACCTACACTAGCTAGGTGACAGTAAGGATGACAATGTCACTAAACAAGTCCTAGTTCCACTCTCGATTAGTAACTATAAGGATGAAGTACTACGTGATGTGGTCCCTATGCACGCAAGAAATATATTATTGGGATTACCTTGGCAGTATGACCGAAACATTACCCATGATTGGGGAAAGAACCAATATTCCCTATGCTTGAATGGTTCAACCCACGTTCATATGTCATTATCAACCCATGTCCATATGTCGTTATCGCGAAAGGAGGTATATGAAGACTAGCTTAAACTCAAGAAATCCCATGATGAATTTATTAGACGAACAGAGGGGGAAAGTAAAGTTCAAATGGAGATCAAAAAGAATGATTTTGTGTAACATTATCCTGGTATGTCACTATACATGGTGGATTACTTGACCCAAACATTAGTTTCTTTATCTTTACAGGAAGTAAGTACCAACACTCTGGATTCGAGTACGAATACTTTCAAAGGGGAAGATGATGTGATAAGAAGCAAGGGGAAATTTTGTGATTAATAAGAGGAAGGGCATGTCCACAATGATAGGAAGTGTTCATACCATAGTATGCTTCCAGAAGACACTAAGAAGTCCCCTCGAGCAGAAACGTGACATCTTGATGCCAATATGGGCACCAACATCTATTAAATAAAATATATAATATACGAAAAAATCACATCTCTTACAATTAATGCAAAGTAGTATCACTGAGGCAAATGGTTAATGTCCATCAAAAATAGCATGAGCACACCCACTCTTCTACATTCACTTAAAACAACACCCTTTCATGATTTTTCACAAAATTACCTTCTAAATGCTTTTAGAAAACCAATTATTTGTATCCAATAAACTGCCACTATTCTTACCTCGATGGAGACCAAGTCTGAAGTGAAACACACGAGCCATTTATCCCCAAACATCAAAGAATTTTTTGCAACACGCCATGACAACGTCTGCAGAGTTGAGTGAGTTGCAGATGATACTGTAGTGTTTTGAAGAGAATCCACTACATGCAACCATTGAGCTAGGTTCCTAACACATAAATATATCAGTAAACACTTACTGATTGAAAGGAAACTGAAGGAGAAATGCAGGAAAGACAAGAAAAGCTCACCTATTTGCAGTAGGCGTTTGGTTGACAGTAGCAGGGGAACGCTTCTGTTTGAAGCTTGCTGCTTGACTTGAGAGGCTAGATTTGCATGAAGAAGATGATTAAAGTACGAAGAAGAAGAAACAAAGCTCTAAAAGAGAAAGAAGTTCACCTTAAGTCTAAAAGAAAACGATTCCTCCTCTGCAACACACCAGTGTAGCAATAGCCGCGTTGGACAATTTCTGGGTTGAATCCACAGGTTCTAGGATGATTACACAGCAAGGATTCAATTAAGAGCCATCCTAGGACCTAACGTAATTATTCTTAATCTAGAAATTGAATAAAACCAAAAAGGAACAGCTATATAAAACAAATGAAAGAAGTGGCACCTGAAACAATCCCTCCTTGAGTTTTTTTTTATTGTCGAGGGGACTCTGTCGAACCTAAAAGGAGATTTATGAAGTTGGGTTAAAATGGACAATGTGAGGGACGAAAAGAATGTCTAAAATACCAAAAAAATAGTAGAAGAAGGCTTACCTCGCACGAGAAGAAGCCATGCTTCCCACTGCACTGCTCGCACGCACACGTAACCCCACTCCCTGGGTTTCTCTCCTAAAACCTAACTGTTTCTCTAAACTCTGTCTAATTCACCTCTGTTGCTCACTCTCGACTTTCTCTTTAACTCACCGAAGGAAATGGAAGAAGCAACAAAACGAAGTGGAAGGCTTCTAAGTGGAATCTGGTGGAATGGGAACCATTGGATTGCATGCAATACAATTAGGCCATTGAAGAGGAAAATGGGCGACAGCTCGGTGAAAGGAAGCCTGACACAGTGACAACTGACAGGAAAGGTGGTCAGTATCTGCTGCCACAAAATGGACAATTGGATTTCACTCACGAAGGAAGTTGAAAGCTGTCAAGTTAAAGTCCCACATTTGACACGCCCACAGTAAGCCTTGTCCAAGGGTAAGCTCAGAACAAAGTACACCTACGGGCAACTTCGCTGTTTTGCCCGCATGTTCATTGCTGTGGGAAAATGATTCGCTTCCCTTGGCCAAATTCAAGCATAAGGAGTGTGGGCTGAAAGGAACATTTGCCTACGTGCCCGTAAAGTCCAAGGCTTCCTCGCAGGTTGGGAATTCTTCCCCTCTCGTGACTTGGCCTAGGAAGACATTGCAGGTTGGCGAACATGCTCCCTTTCCCATGACCCTTGCTCAAGGTGTATGTGTGGAGTCCGCAGGTTGAGGGAAAATTTTCTCTTCCCTTGAACTCCCCACCTAGGGTATTACCTTTCAGAGCTAGGAAAATTTCTTCCCCTCGCGGGTTGAGGACTTCTCTTCGCACTCAAAAACCCCAAATAGTTAACTTAGAAATCTTTGTATTCAAATGTCGTGCTTTTAAATTTGTGTTTTAGTAAATTACGACCTTTAATGTTAATTTTAATTTTAATTGGTATCTAAAATTTTATCACACTTGGATTTATTTTTAATTTTAATTTTAAAATTATTTATTTTTATTTATTTTGCACAAGATTTTTTTGAAAAATTTTAAGAAAAAAAGTAAAACAAAAAAGAAAAAAATCATAGAAAGAAAAACCCCGTGAACTTGCTTGTTGTTAGTTGCACAAGTGGGGTTGTCACATCATAAATGTGACTGCACGTATGCCTTCGCGCATGTGCAGGCTCTCACTTCGACGTGATAGCACACACGCAAGCCTACGCACAAGAAAAGGTTGTTGCGTCAGGCCGCCTGCGCACGGCTACGTGATCCTACACATTATGTAGGCTGTCCTACCAGTTTGCAATGCACAGATCTGTGCGTGCACCTAATCACTTGGTGACCGATTAAGGGATGGATGTCCGTCTATCTGTCAGATCTGGCCATACGGGCGTGTATAACCGCCACATGGCGCGTATGCACGATGCATATGGGTAGCCGATTGGCCACTTGGTCAATCGACTGCCACCGATTGCCTATGCGATTTGACGGCCCCCGTTCGCCTAGAAAACCTATTTAAAGGTCCTCTTCCTTCCTTTCTCTTCACACATTTCTTCTTCATTTTCTAGAGAGAATTTAAAGAAAATTTTAAGAGAGTCAAGTGATACCAAGAGTTTGGATTTCTTCATACGATTTATAAATTCCAGAGTAATCTTTCCATCTTGCCCTATTAACACATCAAAAAACTTAAAGATTTTGGTAAGAGATTTCTTAGTATTTTCTCGT